GCGTGCGAAGGGAAAGGAAGTAACCTTGTTGGTGATGAAGTGGCACTGGGTTCCTTTACCAGAAGCAGGAGCACCAGAAATCATGACATTGACTTTGGACACAATCTGTGTGTATGGAATGGGGAATGGTGAATGGTGAATTCTGAATTGCGAATAGAATAATTAATTGAAGAATGGAATACGAACCAGAGAAGGAGGATCGACGGCGTTGGGAGCGAAAGGGGATCGAAAGTCGCCGCAAAAGAAACGACAAGGGCGATGTCGTTGGCGTTGTGGATTAACGGACAAAGAAGATGGACGAGGCTTATTGTTAATTTGAGTTTGAATTGAATTTGAATTTGGATTTGGATTTGGATTTGGAGAGGAGAACCAAATAGATGAATTGAGGCTGCTGCAACCCATTGTTTTGCACTTTCTCTCTCTCTCTCTCTCTCTCACATTCATTTCTATATCCTTTTCCTTTTATACCATTGCTATTGCTACTTCACTTACCCTTTGGTTGGTGGCTAGAGGTAGAGCTGCTTCATCACATCAAATTCATTCACTTACCCAATAACTACGTACCAATCAAGTTATAATAAATAAATAATTCAGTGAAAATAAAAATTGTTTCATAAATCAAATACAAAATAATAAAAAATATTATTATAAAATTATTTTTACTCCTATTCAGTACATAATTTTTTTCATCTTTTATCTAAACATACTCATTATTTATATGTATTAAGTATTATTATTATTACAAAAGGCACTTTGATTTTTTTTTTATATTTTATTAAAAATAATAATAATAAAGTAAAATAAATGATAAAAATAATTAAAATTAAATATGAAAGCGGTATATAATGAGTCTAAGTAGTTTTTGGTAATTAATTAGAAGATATAATAAAATTAAATTAAATAAAGTATTTTCGAAAGTTATGAGATCAAAATTATAGAAGGTAAAAGACTTCCATAATACTTTATTGGAGAAAAATTGATGGGAGAGATTTTACAAGCTCGTCTTGCTTGATTTAACTTTTAGAAAGAGAATGTAGAAAATTGAAGGATAGCAAAAAAAAAAATTATCTAATTTGATTTAGAGAAGACAGAAAATGTAAGTATAATATCAAAAAAAAAAATACTTATTTATGTTCCTTAATTTAAACTTGTAAGAATATAAAAGTAAGTTAATTTTTAAAATCTTTCTTCTCCATTCGAAAACCAAATCTCTTTTCAATCAAATAAATTTTTTAACTTTTTTACTCCCTTCACTTCTCTTTTTATGCCCTCATTTAAACCAAACACATTCTTTGTTACAAATGTTTTTTAGATTAGAAAACTAATTAAAAGTTTAAAAAAAAAATTCAATGACCTATTGTTTATTATACCTTTTTTTTTTCTTTCTTTTATTAAGAATAAGATACCAAAATACTCTCTAATACAATCTTCTTTATACACTCTATTATTAATTAAAATTATTAAGAATTATAAAATTATGAATGAAACTTATTAACGGAAATTGGTAAGTACAAAATTGTGATTTTTAATAAATTTAATCAATAATAAAATATACATATCTAAAACATGTATTTATATTTTGAGTAAAATCAAAATGCCTATATTATAAATAAAAATACAAATAACATTTTAGCCTAAAATTTTAATTAGGAAAAATTTAACACCCCATTGCACAGTAATAGCGAACGCGTCTGGAAAATTTTTTTCCTTACATCTCAGTTATTTTTACAATACAAAAGTTGTATATGAAATAAATTATCTATTTGGCAATTTTTTTCCTTTTGCTAAAAAAATTCTTTTTTTCTAACATTAGTTACTTTGAGCTGTTAGATTATTTCCGCTCGCTTATTTCCCTTTTAACATTCTAATTCTCAAATCTACAAACAAAGCTTGATTTATTCTTTCATTCCCAAACTAAATTAATTATCTTAAAAACGCTTTTTTTAGAAATTTATCTAGAAAAAAACTAATTTTGTTTGGATAAATTATTTCAATAATCAATTATAACAATAATAAAATATTTCAATAATTAATTATGAAAATAATTTAATTTTCAGTTATCACAAACACACCACAAGTCCCACTTTTCCGTTAGAAAAAGGCGAACTTTTAACAAACCTTAAAATATAATGAAGAAAAAGTTTCTAAACATTAAAACCACAATTATTTTGTAATTGCATCTTCCAAACAAGCAAAAGGAAAACTTGTTCCATTTTATTTAATCAGCAGAAAACCATCCAAATTAAGCAGTTCTTCAAATCTAAATGCGTTTCACTAGCCGTCTTCGATGGCTTAGCAGATTGACGACTATGAGAATGAGAGGTGTTAGGTATTTTTGGTATTTGTAACTTCCCGAAGAACATTGCAAAAGGCAAGGCATTACGTGTTAGCAATGATTATAACTATAATTAGGAATGATTGTATATATACAAAATCCAAAAAATATTACTCCATGCCTCCTGAAGCCGACACTGGTTCATTTCTCTACATATCACACCACCAGTCACTCTATCCTCAATGCCCTGTAAAATACAGACACTGATTTACCTTGACACGCGAGCAGGTGCCAAACATTGGGTTATCCAAAAAGTGACGACAAAAAATGACTGAAGGGCATGGTGGGGAAAAAAATGAGATGTTACAATGTCAAAATTTGTACTCTTGGATATGTACACACTGACTCTTTAATGAATCTGGAATACTAGCCATTAAGCCTTGCTAAAAATTGATTCAGGTTGTACTCCTCCGTATATTGTGATTGGTCCCAAAGCTCCTCCAATCCTCCAAGTATTGATTTCAATCCCTTTCCACTGCCTACTAATTTAGCGTCTCCATCAGAGTTCTCTGAACTCTTCGCAACAGATGCCCCCTATATAAATGATCATGCCCCCAAAACATTAGAGCTTCATGCATAAAATAAGATGGCACACACTAATCAATTCCTCTAGCAACCTAAGATTACCAGGATAGACATACAAATGGCATATAAAAACAAAATTAATAATGCTAAATCTTCATTCACAAAACAACTGACCCAGTCATATTCAAATTCTAATATTCGGCATTTAGAGCAACTACACCAGATATAAACATGTATCCATACCTTCTTCGACGTCTCTGCTGATGCAAATAAATCAAGCAACTGATCTGTATTCATTGTTTTCATACTAGCATTTTCCGAATTAATGACAGCATTAGCCACCGACACTTTGAACCTTTGCAGACTCATAACTTTCTCTTCCAAAGTACCACGCATTATTAGCCGATGGACATTAACTACCTTTTTCTGACCTAACCTGTGTGCTCTATCCATAGCCTGCAGATTATTAATACGAGAACAAGTGACGCAACATGAGAAAAACACCATGTTGTTAGGCACTAAAAGTAGAAAGGGCATGCAAGAAGACAATATATACGACGCACACCACCAAGAGTCGTTTGCTTGAGCTTTTGAAAAAACAAAAAGTGATTACAAGGTATTGGAAAAACAAATATCGTTTTTCAGAAGGTATTTTGCATGTGGTTATATTATAAGAACCCCCTTTTATTTTTGAAAGGTGATTTTATGTTGTTAGAGTATATGAATATAAAAATATTTTTTCCTTGAAAAAATTCAATAGAAGACATTAAGAATCCCTCAAAAACAATATACGAACAAGATTTTCAGTTGTAAACTACAATAAGCAATTGTGGATATTTTCGTTTAAAAAACAGTTTCGTATCTGTCCCTCTTCTTTCTCTCATCAATAACAAAGTGATTATGTTGAAAAGCTGTCCCTATTAGCTTCCAATAAAAATCCAAAATTTAATTATTTTCAGACTCTTTCTTTTGTAAAAAGTAAAAACCTTATCAAAACAATTTAAAATATTTAAATTTTTGAAATAAGAAAGTGATTTTTTTCAAAAAATAATCTTAAACAACCAACTACTATCTAGTACATACAACTAGAGTTGAATCTGAAAAACCTAATTAAAAATATATCGAAGAAACAAATCCCAAAGCTAATATTGAATTCTATGCCCACAAAATTAGAATTGTCTTGACCGGAAAAAGAAAACCCCAAGAAATCATCATAATTACCTGATGGTCTCGCATCGGATTCCAGTCATGCTCCACAAAAACAAGGGTATCTGCAGATGTCAGGTTCAAACCAAGCCCACCCACTGCAGATGGAGAATTTAATACAATTTCAAAATACTAAGCTACAACTATAAGAGAAATAAGTGGGTAGGTCAATAAGACAAGGAGGTAAAAAAACTTACCATGTGTTGTAAGCAGTAAGACATCGATGGTAGGGTCAGAATTGAAAGCTTTGACAATTTCAAAGCGCTTTTCTGGCTCAACTGATCCATCTAACCGCAAATATGTAACACTATAATGCAGAAAGGAAAAATGCAAGATGAAAGCTCAGAATAAAAAAATAACCATTTTAGAGTATCACAGTTTAGTGCAAAACAACAAGCTGCAGTTGTTCAAAAACAAAAAGAGCTTTCAACAACAATCATTGAATGCAATGAAACAAACCTGAAAACAAATCTCTTTTCATGTGTATCAAAACCATAAATTTATTAACTAGATGACCGGGTCCAGTAACTAACCTTTTCATGTGTGTATGAAACAAATCTCTTTCAATTATATCCAGGAAAGCCTGAAAACAAGCAATTGTTAAATGACAAATCAGTAGACCATTTATTAATCTCCAGAAAGAAAGTAGCCCCAAAGAAAAGGCAATCATCACCTTATGTTGAGCAAATATCAAGACCCTATGCTGCCCAATGTTAACCGCACCCTCAGAACATGAATTATCAACTCCAATTCCACATTCTTCAAGAATCTCCTGAAGAGCAACCAATTTTGGAGAGTGACAGAGTTTGTGAAGTTCTGAAATAACATCAGAGCCAGCAGGAAACACTCCTGAGAGGATGCTAGACAGTGAATCTGGAATCTTCTCACCAATGACAAGCAATGGATGACTACAGAGTTTTAGCAAGTATTGAAGCGCCTGAAATATAGATTGGATTTCTATGCGTTAAAAGAATAGTAGGAACAATACTTAATTGATATCTAAAGAAATGTTATTACCTGGAAAACATGTGAAGAAGCTTTAGTAGAACCACTGCTTCCTTCTGCTGCTGCAGATTCATTTGTTGTCACAATAGATGACACTTCTTGTTTTACACGGGAACCAGAATACTGTTCGTAAAGTTTGAGTTGTACAAGGCTCAAATCACAGTATCTGTCTTGAATTATTTTCTCTGGCAGATCAGACAAGACTTCATCCTTTGTCCTACGAAGGAGGAAAGGCATTACCTAGAGAACAGAAGTACATAAAGTTAGAAGGCCAAAAAAAAAAAAAACACAAGTGCAGCACATTAACGAAAAAGAGAAAATCACCTGCTTATGCAATGCCTCCATAGCAAGAGCTCCTGCTTCAGCATCCTTCGCGGAGCATTTAGGATCTCTTGCAGCTAAAAGCGGTTTTCCATATGTGGCTTGGAACTGTTAAAGCCACATTAAATGAATGCCCATTGAGACAACAATTAAAAGAATAATGTTAAAATGTATTGGCACTTGGTAGATAAAGCATTACCATTCACAAAGTACATACCTATATGGCTGAGACATGTCTAAAAGAAACTCAAACTAAATATAAGGGACCTAATATCTCGAGGGAAATTTACATGTTGGAACCAAAACGAATTGACATTGTAAATCAACAACATTGCACCTAGGCTTCAGTTGATGACTTGCGATGACATGTTCATTCTAGCATGGGGGAAATAATGTTGGAACAAAATGTTGTCTCAAAAGGAAGTTCCCCCTCCCCCTGGATGAGAGTTTGACAGTAAACTTTAAGCTAAAAAACACTTTGAGTGCAAATTGAGCTAATTCAAACATGCATTAAAATAGGATCCAGGGGAATACTTTATTACGTCAACTATTTCAATAACTTTTTTAAAAACTAAACATAATTCTGCCTGTTTTAAGACCATAATGTACCAAATTTAGCTTGTTTCCAAATTATAGCCAATACCAATCACAAGTTGCAGTTATGTAGATTATAATGACAAGCAGCAAGAAATACCTGTCTCTCAGTTCCAAGAAATCCAGGCATCAGAAAATCAAAAAGAGACCACAAGTCCATTATGTTATTCTGCAAGAAAAGGTAACACGTTTATCAGATTAGTGGTTACAGATTGTAACTTAATGAGACATAAACTCATCACCAACCTGTATGGGTGTCCCACTCAATATCAAGCGGTGTTGGGCTTTCAACTGTTTTACAGCAAGTGTAACTTTAGACTTGGCATTCTTGATTATATGCCCTTCATCTAAAATGCAGTAATTCCACAGCAGCTGTCCCAAAAAATCAATATCTTTACGGACAACATCATATGATGTTATGATGACATTATGCTTGCAAAAATGATCTCGAAGAAGCACTCGATCCTGAGCAGAACCAACATATTGAAGACTAGATATAACAGAAACATCAATATACTTCTCTATCTCAAATGCCCAGTGCCCAACTAGAGTTGATGGGCAGATAATTAAAGATGGCAGAAGATCCTCATTCCCAAATGAAGCTCGATGCTCAGCTATACCAGAGGCCACAATTGCTGATGCTTGAAGTGTCTTTCCAAGTCCCATGTCATCACATAAAATTCCATGAAGCTTGAAACGTTTCAAAAAAGCTAACCAATTGATGCCTTCCTGCTGCTACCTGGA